CAGCGAAGGGGCCGAGTCCCAAGTTCCAGAGCGTGACACTCGTCATAGTGAGGTCATTTGTGATTCAGCCTGAAGGTGATTGGCCAGACCGTATGGGGGTAGGCAGACAGTGGTGTTTGCGTATTTGCTAGCAGCTGTGAGCCGTTAAACCTTCCTGCGGAGTGGGCTCATCACACCCTTACCAATCGCGTTACGGAACACGCTCGTACCGTTCTGGCTTAGGGCCCCACTCTCGAGTCCCACCAGCAGCCGTATTGCGGCGACAGGAATAGCCATTTCAAGCTTATCAGTTGTCATCAGCCAGCCATTCGCAACACCAGGTGTGGCTACCCTGTAGCATTTTTGATGCCGATCCTATCCTCTAGGACTTTCTTATATTTTTGCATCCAGGCAACTGTTTCCCGGCCGACTACCGCCCCCCCCCCCTCTACTCGCATTTCGCAATTTTTCTGGTAACAGTGTGGGTGCTTCAAGTGAACAGCGCTCCACGTGATTTACCCTGATTATGCACCTTTCGCTCTCCCTTTGTTTGTCCCCAACAGACAGTGAAAGCCTTCACAAATCCTGGCGAAACGGAAGAGCTGGATGAGTCCGAAGGCGTCATGGACACCTCCATGTCCACCTCTGCCAACATGCCCTTCCTAGAACGTCCCGAGGGCCAGCTGTTAATCAAACGGCTCCTGCATGAGGAGAAGGCCAGCAAGTCCTGTAAGTTGGTGCTGCTGTCTGCTTTCATACAGTAAATGCTTCTCTAACCCATCACTCACACTCATCAATGTCATCTACTGAAATGTCCACCGAAATTCTGAAATGTGTTTTCAATCTAAAAACGTTTTGTTGGGTGGGTTGCAATAATCAATGACCTTTAATCTAATACCAGGAAATTTCCGCCATATCAGGATACTAGGTTTCAAAGGAATGTCGTCATTCCGGCTGCCTGAAAAAAAAACTACACTATAAAACTGGCTAATTAAAAAGACAGACTTTCTCGTTGATTTTCGAAGCCTTTATAAATACAAAAATATTTTTTATAGAAAACATTGCGAAAATTTTGTTTCTTGTGTTTATTTACTAGCAAATTATGTCTTCTTCTTCTTCTTCAAATGTTTACTTGAATAAAAGGTATATTTCTGTGTTTATGAGGTTTCTGATTATGAGGTATTTTAAGACCATAAAATTTCCATTTATTACTGTTATTTAGAAAACATGTGATATAATACACACTTTTTGTAAAATTTTATGACTACTATGTGACGTCTTAGAGAAATAGAAGATTTTTCTTAGACGGAGTGCATACAGCATGCAGTTTGGAAACCATGGATAAAATTAAAGCGATATTTTTCGGCAGTCGAAGTTTTTTTTAAAAAAGAACGAATCATGCCCTTTCTTCAAGAATAAATTTTAAGAAGATGCCATTTTCTACTAAATAAGCGTAAAGAAGAATGTGTTGTTGCCTGTCTTCAATAAAATATTTATGAATTTATAAGGGCGTTGAAAGTAAATAAAATCATGTACATTAATTAAGGAGGCATATTTATAAAGCGTACTTTTCGTGCAGGTGGTCTGAATGAGGCTCAATTCACTTTCTTTGAGGAAAATTTTGTTAAGTACCTTTGAACTTGTTGGAAAGCGGACATCCTAACGTAACTAAAATATCTCGAAAACATACTAAACGATAATTAACATTGAAACCACATTTAGGTAAGCGGCAACAAACTTTTCCCCCTTCAGCCTTAGCTTACCTCCTCTTAACGGCAGGTCCCAATCTCCGCTCTTCGTGAGTAGGGGGTTATGTTCACACGGGGTTCCGAGGATCCACCTCGTTCGAATTGCTGAAGAAACCAAAGGTTAAGCCTTATGTACTTTATTTGCCGTCAGCACTGTCGACGTTACCCTGCTTTTATGGTGACTTTTGACTATAAGTAAATTACCCACTTGATGCTGAATAACCGTCAACTACTAATTTCTTTTAGTTGATTTGGGACGACTGATGATCACCTTGGTGCCCGCCGAAGTTCTCCGCGCCTGGACTACCTGCAACCGTAGCTGCTTCACTCTTGTAAAGTAAGTTTGTGCTGATTACCGATTTTACTTTGTGGGATACGAAGTAGTCCAGCCGGATAGTAGATGATAGAACGTATCCCAATAGTTATAGGCTAGTACTTACTTACTTACTTGTTACGGCTGTGATCATGCCTGATCTAGTCGGCCTCAATGATGTCACGAACGGTCCCTCTTCATGCGTGGCGATTGGTGGCAACTGATCTGGAAAGCTCCACCCAGTCCCTTCTCCAGCGACGGAGACCGAAGATAG